TTCTCTCATTTTGGCACAATTTGATCAAATTCTTTAATAACAAACATGTTTGATTTTGGAGGATTTGATCAAAATATTGTAACGAAATGGTAGCTTTTGCCCCTCCCTGGGGGAAAATCTGGCAGGCTCCGACTCAATTTGACTGGATTAGATTGGCAGTGTGCGCTGGGTGTATGAGGCTTGGAGCAACCCCACCTTGTACCACGAGAAAACACTTAGAATTGCCCTAAAATCAGATGTGAGGCAGCGTGGTGAAATCAGGCTCTCGTCAAAATGATGAAATCGAAGAAAACAGCAGTTTTCACCCTGCTAAGCAATTTTTATCAAATTTTTGTTTTTTGGCTCATCACCTTTTATGTCCATTTACAAACACATTCCTTTGAGGATTTCACCGAAAACGTTAATTACAGGCACAAAAATATAAATTTACAGTTTCCATGGACTCTCCAGCTTTGGAATTTACCCAGATTTTCTCGCTATTTTTACCTCTTAAACTAGGTGACCCCCACCTCCTTCAATCCAAAGTATATCAACTTCTCTAGGAGGTAGATGGGTAATTTTTTTACATTGAAAGCAAGACAAATGAACAAGCTTTAAGATGATACCAATAACTCTACATGCCCAAAAATTGACGAGAGCCAGATTCCACCACGCTGCCTCATATATTAACTAACTTACTTCTGCTCTTTGGAAACTAGTAATTGCATACCCAGGTACAATTTTACCCCCCCCCCTCCCCCCCTTCCTCAATCACGAAAGAACATACTTAACTCAGATGACAAATCATGTTTTGTTCAGCAGTGAAGAGGTGAACTCCATGGCGTTATGAAAGCAGCACATTCGATTTTCTCAGGGTTACAACGGGGAAAGTGGTACTTTGGACGCCCGTGGCGTCACAAGGGAAAAGCCTTACAACAGAGTAATGGTAGCAGAAAGCCAAGTTACAAGACAATGGAGTTACATTAAGAAGGCGGCAGGCAGGGGAGTTAACTGGCTCATGCCCACTGACCGTTTCGATGACCTCGCCAGTCGTGAAGTCAATGGACATTCACCTTTATGTTATTATGTTAACATTGTCTGTTCATTCTCTCTCTCTCTCTCTCTCTCTCTCTCTCTCTCT